AGGAAGACCCCCAATGAGATGGATTGACAAAGTGGCAGGGTCAATGGCCTCAAGTGTGGCTGAGCCCAGACCCCTGCAGTGTTTCATTCTGCTGTGCATAAGGACTCAGTAGCATCTAACAACAAGAGAGGGATGAGGGAAAAGAGGGAAGGAGGAAGAAAAGAGGAGGGAGAGAAGGATGGAGGGATGGAGGAGGGAGAAAGAGGAGGGAGGGAAGGAAGAAGGAGAGAATTGGAGGAGTTAACACAACAGTGAGATACCACTACACAGCTATTGTTGTTGCTGTTAAATGCTGTTGAGTCATTACTGACTCATAGAAACCCTGTAAAGGGTTCCCGAGGAGTGCCTGGTGGCCTCAAACTACTGACTTTGTGGTTAGCAGTCCGGTATGTATCCTACTGCACCACACCTGGACTTCACTCAGTGATGAGAATGACTAAAATTGAAAATATGAATAATTCAGAAAAAGTTAGCAGCATAAACAGCTCCATGTTCCCATTTCTCACAGAATCAACTTTGTCAGGAATCTGGAAACCAGTCTAGATTTATAGCAAATAAGCAAATACTGAATCCTGAAAATAGTCACTTCAAAACATCAGAAAGGTTTGGTTGTCTGTCTTCCTTCACTTTGCCTAGAGGTGGCAGTCTTTTTGTCTTATTTAAACAATTTTGCTGTGTAAAATATATACAACATACCATTTATAATTTTAGCCATTTTCAAACGTTCAATTCAGTGACACTAATGAGCTGCTAATGGAGTCCTGGTGTGGTGTGGTGGGTTCATGTGCTGGACCGCAAAGTCACTTTGAATTGCCAGGTAGGCAGTTCAAGTTCACCAACCACTCTTCAGAAACCCTATACGGGTCACTATGAGTTGGAACCAATTTGATGACATTTGACAACAACAAAGAGGTGCTAATTGCAAGGTCAGAGGTTCAAACCCATCAGCCGCTCCACAAGAGAAAGGTGAGGCTGTCTTCTGTAAAGATTTTATGATACCAGAGCTCCTTTTATAGTACAATACAAATAACATACAAAGTACGTGTTGATCGCCTGTCTATGTTATTGGCAAGGTTTGATCTCAACAGTAGGCTATGGCTAAGTTCTGGGATAGTGAAAAGTTATGTGGACTTTGGATTCTTTTCCCAACCCCAGTCTTGTTCAAAGGGTGACTAGTATTCAGAATGGCAGGAGTTCTGGGGACCAAAGTTGTGACAGGAATGACCCTTGTGAAAGACTTGCCGTGTAAATCTTTGGACGGAGGAACTTACTCTATGGCAGTTACGGTTTGGTTTTCTGGGTTTTGTGCAAGAAAAGGCTTTTCTCAGATTTAAAAGTGGCAGGAACAAGTGAAGGTGAGTGTGAAGAAGGGGTTGGCTCAGTCACTAAGAGTTTCCCCAACTGTTAAAGGGGAGCAGTGGCTCCCAGGAGTTTTGAGCATTTCATACAGCACGTCTGGTGAGTTTGCCCTGTGCAGGTAGCGGTGGGACATCACACATACAGGATCAGTAGGTGGAGGGAAGAGAGGCCCCGGCCTGCCCCCCCCCACAAGCTAAAACTTTTCTCCCGGTCACTGCTGCTCCCTCCTCTGTCCCCCTCCCCTCCCCCTGCCCCTCTTTTTCCTTTCTACTCCTCCAATTCTCTCCTTCTTCCTTCCTTCCCTCCTTTTTCTCCCTCCTCCATCCCTCCGTCCTTCTCTCCCTCCTCTTTTCTTCCTCCTTCCCTCTTTTCCCTCATCCCTCTCTTGTTGTTAGGTGCTACTGCAGGGGCCTGGGCTCAGCCACACTTGAGGC